GTTTTTTATTGTGTACTTGAGTATAATACTACATGTTGCTCTTGATGTGTGTACAAATCACTTGATAAAAGAAGACTGGTTGATTGATGGAAAACATCCATTTGAAACCACATATACAAGTATTTTTCAAATACTTTTATTTTTTTAATTCTAAAAGTGAACTTACAGCTTTTTCACAGACAAAGATTGTTTGGTTGGCAAAGTACAGATTCACTGCAGCAAATTTGTCTCCATTCATCTTTGTAATGTGAATGTCCTCCTTAAAGACAAAGATATATAGAGATTAAAGTCAACAAAAAATATAAAAATAACAGTTTTTGTACGTATAAAACAATAATTATTTTAAATGAGAGTACCTCATATGTGCATGAATTACTACTTTGGTCATCCTGGAGACATCTTGGACGAGCACAAAACCAAAAGCATAGCACAACGTTAGTTGAACTATACAAATACACAGAGAAAGTGAAGGCTTCTCCTCGCATCGAACGTTTTACGGCTAAATGTAGCTTGGAGTTTCTCGCTGAGATAAACAAAGGTAAATTAAAATGTTTACATAAAACTCACCGAAGAAGCGTGGAAAACTCTTCTGCTCTAGATACCACCTTTGAGCCCATCACAAAAATGTTAAGCGGTGTTACAGGGCAAAATGTGTGGCTACAGCAGCAGAAAACAGGCTGAACGTATCAACATTTACTAATAGTAGGATGCTGTTTGCGTTTGACAAGCGCGCGCTCAGTCGAAAAGTGACGACACGAGTTCACAGGTCATCAGCCACGTCAGAGAAATGAAAATAAAAAAGAGAAATAGTTCTTCCCTGGACTTTGCAGTTTTATTTCTTACATACACACAGAATATAAATATATGTATTTGTTTTATATTATTTTTACTTGAGAGAAATTGAAAAGAGTAAAGTAGTTCGATACTTCCGTTCACGCTGCAAGACACTGCGCCATTGTGTAAAAAATAGGTCCTACTTCAAGAGAAAAAACAATCCTTTTCTTGATGATTGTCGTGTAATTTAACATATTTAGTACCTTCAGTTTGCTTTTCTATAATAGTTATTCTTTCATCTGGTATCCTAAAATATTTAAAACCAAGTAGTAGCCGAAATAGTTTTAGCGGAAGTCTTGTTCTCAGCGGCGGAGGCATATATGATCAGGGTTAAGTTACCAACTTCCTTTTTACTGTGGCCGCCATACCGTGAGGAGCGTGATTCCCGGCGAGCCGAAAAAAACTATCGAAAATGGTGAGAAATTATTGATATGTTAAAATATATACGGTGCAGAACATGTATATTTCTAGCATGTTTTATGTATTATGTTAACTGTTTGGCAGTTTGTCTGGTAAAGAAGCTAGTATTTACATAAATCTGATCGCAGAATTGAATGCTAGTCACTAGGAAGCTAACACGAGGAGCCATTTTGGACGACTGCTTATTCCGAGTTACACGTGTTGTCTTGCAGCAGCGTTTCTTGTATTCAACTGACTTTGAGTGTAATACCGGTGACTATTATTTGAGTTTGTCTTAGTCGTTGGTTACTACATTAAATCTTAATAGTCCTTAGTGTATGTTAAAAGTAACTCAGGATTTTACAATGTCACGTGAACAATTTGCTTAAGTTTCATCCCATGTCGGTAAGATAACTTAATTCAGTATAATTTACATTAACTAACATTTTCTACAGCTTTGTCAAAATAAGTGGGTTTATGTTAAGTGACATAAACCCATTCATTATGACTCAACCACGCTAAAATGTGTGATATGTGTGAAAAGCTCAAACCCAAGTTAGCAATCAACAATTAGCCTAAGTAATTAATTCACTTCTAATACTACTAAGTCTTCCAGAAGTTCAAGGATGTTAATATTCCACTTTGTATCACGGAAACACTACGAATGAAGAACAGTGTGGCATGAAACTGAATATTAACCTAATTTGAATATTTGTTAAAAAGCTAAATTACATTCTGAAGCAGATTTTATTTTTTAATAGCTCAGTTTTTATCAGTGTACTTGAAAATCACATTGGATGTTTTGATGCATTGTTAAAGGCAGGCTGAGCGCCAATAAGAAAACAATTGTTACATTGTATGTGTGATCATCAAATGTGTATTTCACAGAAAATTCTGTTTTTACATTCTCAGGCCTGTGCCCGACCCCTCATCTCGGTGTATTCCGACAAAGGAGAATCATCAGGCAAAAATGTAGTCATGCCTGCTGTCTTCAAGGCCCCCATTCGCCCTGATGTTGTGAATTTTGTGCACACCAACATGCGCAAAAACAACCGCCAGCCATATGCTGTCAGCGAGCTGGCAGGTGAGTCATTATACAATTGATGTTCAATTTTTGCCCATCGAGTTGCTTCTTTTGGGCGATGTTAATTTCTACCCACATTTCATACACATACATATTTGTTATTTGTATTCACATGTACATTTTTTACTTTTGCCATTTCATGTCCACAGTTATGAATCTCAAAGTTGGGCTAGTTTTCACCATAAAGTCACTGCTGCTACCATAATTTGTAACTGTATTTATATCGAATCTTTCAGGTCACCAGACAAGTGCAGAGTCCTGGGGAACAGGAAGAGCTGTGGCCCGTATCCCTCGTGTGAGAGGTGGTGGTACTCACCGCTCTGGCCAGGGTGCTTTTGGAAACGTATCCTTGTTTTGAGTCCATTTGTTGTTTTCATGCCTTTAACAGCTAAATCTGGACTTGCTGTGATGGTGTAATTTGCGTCTGACTCTGTGGCAGGTGACAGTATGCCTGCTGTCATATGCTGGCACAGACGACTGGTGAACATTGAGTCTGAGCAGGTATTAGGCAGGTTAATATTTACTTTATTGGTGGAAGATTCTTGACTTGGACCTAGATGTGTCGTGGTGGTCGCATGTTTGCCCCCACTAAAACTTGGCGCCGTTGGCACCGCAGGATCAACACACCCCAGAAGCGCTACGCCATCTGCTCTGCCCTGGCTGCTTCTGCCATTCCTGCACTTGTGATGTCCAAGGGTGAGTTTCCCAAAAATAAAAATGTAGAGTAATTTTTTTTAGGTAGGTGAGATTATCTTTGCTGAACAGTTATCTTGCTATGATGGTGTAATTTGCGTCTGATCTTGTGAATGGTGACAGTTGCCTGCTGTCATTAAGCCATTACAGGGTACTGATGAGTGATAAACTCTGAGCAAGTTCAGGTGTTAGTTAGCCCAGCAGTTGTTACTTGCATGTCCTTCAATTACATAAAATCTTTGATCAGGACATCGTATTGAGGAAATCCCTGAAGTTCCACTGGTGGTTGAGGACAAAGTTGAGGGCTACAAGAAGACCAAGGAGGCTGTGCTGCTGCTGAAGAAGCTTAAAGCCTGGAACGATATCAAGAAGGTGAATTAAAATCTGAAATTGGAAAAAATGCATTTTCTTGCCAGTTGAAGGTCTGTAGATTCTTAGATGTTAAATGTGTTGGTGTCCTTAGAATGTGAGAATACAGTGATTGAGTTATTAAAGAGATGAGTTAATGCTACAAATGTTTCTCCTTTATTAATTGTTCTGTAGTAGTAAGCTCACAAATTTCTCAAAACTAAGCCAAAAGTTTGTGAATATTACATGCAGCATTTAAATATTTTGAAATGGATGTTTTATACTTGTTTTTATGACTAAGAAGTTTTTAGCATGTGTATTTTTCTTAATTACCATAAATGTTCTTTGTAGGTCTATGCCTCTCAGCGCATGCGTGCTGGTAAGGGCAAGATGAGGAACCGCAGGCGTATCCAGCGCAAAGGTCCGTGCATCGTCTACAACCAAGACGCTGGTTTAACCAAAGCCTTCAGGAATATTCCAGGTGAGTTTTTACTGCATTTACCACAGAGATTCTAGATCCACATGTTCAAATAAAAGTAGTTAGAAATAGTGATGAAATATTCAATTTGCATCTCTCTATTATGACTGTAAATTCATTTGGAAAATCATTCCTAAACATGTTAACCATCCATTTTTGAAAGTAGATGCACTTATTTCCCTTTTTTTTATTTCTAGGCATCACTCTGCAGGACGTGAATCAGCTGAATCTTCTGAGGCTCGCTCCTGGTGGTCATGTCGGTCGGTTCTGCATCTGGACCGAAAGCGCGTTCCGCAAGCTGGATGAGCTGTATGGCACCTGGCGTAAACCAGCCTCTCTGAAGAAAAACTACAAGTGAGTGTTAAAAAAAGCATCAAATCTTACAGGTGCACATCCATAAGAGAATTATTTGAAAAGTTTTTCAGTGATTTCATTCAGAAAGTTACAAACTCTTTGACACAATGAGAGTTAAATAGTTTACTTCACTTAATTTTAATTACTAAAAGCTAAAACAAATCTTGAAATCAGTTTGTAAAGTTTAATATTACAAGGCTAAATGCTTCCTCATAAGCCTTGTTGTGATGTTGACCACTGCTCACCTGATTCCTGTACAGCAAATGGTCTTTATCTTTCTTTAGTCTACAAATGTACAATACATGAGCTTATTTGTCAGTAGGTTGACATATCTGAATTAAAACCTTTATTAGTTAATGCAAAGAATGATTTTCTGAAAAAACACAATTTGGGTTTTTCTGAGCAGTAACCTGGAATAATCAAAAAATGTATAAGTATACATTTTACAGAATTCACTTTTTGAATTTAATTCCTGAAATTAACTTTTCTATATTCTATTTAGTGGTGTGCACCTGCACAGCAGTATCTGTTTGCACATGTATCTCAGTGATGAGCTTCCACTTCATGGTCCGTGTTTTTGAACGCTGTGATATTTGCTGAAGTTCTGAGTTGGTCCAAATGAAATTTGTCCATCAGATGTGGTGTTCTTTTATTGGTTTTAATTATTGATGCTTCTTGTTTTCAGGCTCCCAATGCACAAGATGACAAACACAGATCTGGGCAGGATTTTGAAGAGTGAGGAGATCCAGAAAGCACTTCGAGCACCCAAGTATGTATTTTGTAGTATATTGTTTGTTTCTAACCTTGTTTCGGCTATGATGATCTCCCACTTCTGGTCCGTGTTTCTGACCCCTGATTATGTTGGAAGTCCTGAGCACATCAAAAAGTTATAAATCTTCTGTTGCATTTATAAGTCAAATTAACCTTTTACTTCTCCCATTGCAGCAAGAAGATTAAACGCAGAGTGCTGAAGAAGAATCCTCTGAAGAATTTGAAGATAATGTTCAAACTGAACCCTTACGCCAAGACGGCAAGACGTCATGCCATCCTGAAGCACGACCCTACTGTAAGTACCAAGTGGTTTAAAATCTTCTGGAGATGGGAGGAATATTATAAAGAAACTGAGGTTGACTGATTATCTTGTTTTCACAGATCAAGGCTAAGATGCTGAAACCCAAGAAGAGGCCTGTAAAGAAGGCCCCTGCTAAACCCAAGGCATAAATGTAAACAGACTGGAGTTCAGTAAAATAAATCAGTTGTTTCAAATATGAGTCAGAAGTTTTATTTAAACTTTTTAATTCACAAGGTAAATATCACAAAAGCCATGTTGAGTGGATGAAGAGCAAGGGTTGCACAATAAATCAGGGCATCAGCATTAAGAGTTTTAAAAATAAACAGGTTGGCCAAGATTATTTCATGACTTTGTCTGGGAAATGATTGTCTATGCATACAGAAGTAGGATGTGACCCTTTAACCCTAGAGTGACTGACTTTAGACCTTGAAACATTGCTTTTGATAAAAAGGCTTAATCATACCAATTGGGCACATTACTCTGGCAGAAATGTTGCGTTGTATATGATTGAGGAGGAATGTCAAACACTGAGGTTTAGCAGCAGAATTTTTACATGGCTGTGTTACAAAAAGATGGCTTTTCAATCAGGTCTCTTAAGGTGACCTTAACAGCTGTCAAGTACACAATTTATTTTAAGTTTGTACAGTTGATATACAGGTGCATCTCAAAACTGAATGCTTATTTCAGCAATTAAAGTGAAACTTGATTCATTATACATGATATATTTTAGTTGTGTGGAAAATAAAGCATATTGGACTATAAAGGGACTGAATTTCTAAAACTACCAGCTATTCAAAGTGCCAGTTCGAAGCACATTCATTAAAAGTGAAATGAAAGGAAGTGAAGGGCTTGTGGGAGATTCACAAGGTGTGAACTGCAGCTGGAGTCACAAGCCTCCACACAGTTGGAATAAGAAGGAAAGGACCTGATTCAAATGATTTTAGAGGGAAGTAAAGTTTGCATTTCAGTCGGGAGAAGCAGCTTCAATTCCAGCAGTCTAATTGGTCCTACCTTAGCAACTCTATGGCCCTGAAAATTATATATTTTTACTTGCATTGGAAAGCCTAGAAGTAGAACAGAAAGCAGCTGCTCTACTGGAGCTCTACAGGTCAACTGGAATTGGTCCAAGGTCATCTGAGCCATCAACCAGGAACATTTCAGAACAACTTCATGATTCCTTCTGCTGATGAGCTTCTTAAAAGCAGGACTGATATTTGCATTAATGACCATGTCTCACTGTGTTTAATCAGCAAACAAACCAAGCAAAGCAAATGATCTGAAAGTCGTTATTAAAGCAACCTGGATTCATTAAACACCTCTGTAGAGCCACATAATTTGTACAAAAAGCTCAGATTTTCATACATTCTGAATATAAGACATGCTCTTATATTCAGTTTTTTGATGAACATAATTTTGGGTTTTTATCAGCTGTAATCCATAAACATCAGAATCAAGTGTTTAAACATGTTCCTCTATGTAATGATTCCCGAGTTTCACTTCATGACTTAAATAATGGAAATTAACTTTTCATAATTTCTGAATTTATTGAGAGGCACCTGTAAGAATAACACATTGCTTACTTTGGAAACACTTAGAAATAATAAAAAGCAACCAGTCTTTTTGATTGGTCTGGTTATGGCTTTGCAATCGACAGTCTCACATGCTGGTGCTATGGGTGGGTGTCGCAGGCTGACTGAGTCCAATGGTGCTGCAGAGCCAGCCGGCAAAGTCCACCTCTTCTGCCTCGGATTGTTTGATAAAAGGATGCACCTGAAAATGGAACGTATAAAAATAATGGAAATTAACTTTTTTTTATAATTTCGGAATTCATTGACATGCATAAGCTAGGGTCATACTTACCATCAGCTGCTTTAAGTCTGCTCTCTCCGCAGGATTCTTAATCAGACTGCAACAAAAGGGAAAGAAAATCATGCTTTTCAGCAGAGCTGTTAAGAGATGTGTCAAGTGTGTTGCTTTGAACATTATTTCTGAAATACCACTTATTCACAAACTCCTGGAATTCAGCGCTGAATATTGCAGGGAGCTTTGGTGGGGGCTAAAGATGAAAGCAAAACAAATGAAGTTATGAATGGACATGACATAAGCATACAACACTAGATACGGCAGACGAACTCACCTCATTAACTATGTAATCGAGTAGCTCAAATATAGCCATTGGTGGTCTGCTGTTTGGTCCGTACGCTAAGCAGGAAAACAAAAGAATGGATCAAGATTAAGGTTAACAATGAAGGACATTCAAAGACCCTTCAGGAGCTGCTGTCGTGTTACACTTACAGCTGCCCGTACGTCCAGGGGGGCACGGTTTTGGGGACTCGCTGGAGGCTGCCTCCCCTTCCACTGGAAATCCAAAGATCTGCTCCAGTTCCTTGGAATCAGGTGGGGGGATAGGGAAGCGTCCGATGGCCATTTCCACCAAAGACAGACCCATACTCCAGATGTCTGACTGAACAGAGTAATGTGTTCCCTGCAGACGCTCTGGCTGCACAATGCACATTTAATCAGTTATTACAGAGATTAGTGTCTATACATTAACTTAGGAGTGTGTTCTGTGGAGCAATATATATATATATGTATTATTTGTATGCGGAACTCACCGACATGTAAGAGCGAGTTCCCACAAAGGAGTTGGCCATGGAGTCTATGAGCTGTCCGCTCACTCCAAAGTCACACAGCTTGATCTCACCGCGGGAATTCACCAGGATGTTAGAAGGCTTGACATCTGATAGATCCATCCACAGTACACAATGATCAACAGCAAAGAATGGGCAGCCCACAATAAACTTATGCAGGATGATTTTTAATTGATAACTAACGTAAAAATCTATATGGAATGCTGTTTTGGTTTGTAATCTGTGCTTCAACAGTTTAATTTTACTCAGTCGCCTGTGATTGCTCTATAGCAATCATGCCATTTACAAGATCAAAGATAATTATATCATTACTGTGCGTTAAATTTGGGACAAAGAGGCCTAATTAAAAATACAAATAATACAAGAAAAAACCCTCAGGATTTGACAAGCCATATTTAAACCACAGCCTCGTTTCTCTCAACCTTTAATTGAGATTATGTACTATTATTTTATGCATTTTGAGTAAAGAATCATTTTTATTCCCAGGATTTCTACAGCGTCTAAAAGTAAGGAATCTGATCCAATTATTTTCCAGATGGGGAAAAAGAAAATAGTAAATGTAAAAATTGTTGTTTCAAGTTTTCTGAACTATCTCACTGTCTATCAATCTATCCATCCATTTGTCTTCACATCCTCTTTGTTTGTCTCTGTCCATTGATAAATTATGAACCATTGTATTTACTTTATAAATAAATTTGAATTTGATGTCATAGAATCCTGTATTTCACAAAATAGTGACTCTTTTTCGCTTTTTAAGTTCAGCGCTTTTATCATTGAAAATATACACCATCACGTTTCTCACTAGTTTTCCAGAAATAGAATGTGAGATGTTTTTTTCTTCTAGTTTTTTCTAATAAGAAAAAAAAAACTGGCCCAATTTATTCAAAGATTTTTCTGGTATAAAATTCAAAAGAGATGTTAGGTTTCAAAACGGAATTTAAAAATTTTTTAATTCTCCAACATACATTGCCTTCGGCAAACTTTGTTCAGAAATCAAAACAAACCTCTATGCATGATCTTGTGCTTCTCACGCAGGTAAGAAAGACCTTTAATGACCTGTAAGACACATTTCGGACTGTCAGTGCACTTACAAATTATTTTGTGTTGCAAAATAAGTCTTCTTTTTGGTTCAGAGTAATTAGAGGAAAACAGTTTCTCATAGACTTAAAAATGGTGGAGAGGTGTTGGAGCTACCCACAGCAATGCTGACTTTGCCAAGAATCTCCTCTGGGATTTTGCCTGCTTTCTTCAGTGACTGGTCTAGAGACCCACCATCCTGAAGCCACAAAGAAAGAGGAAAAAAGGCGACTAATCATTTGAGACAGAGAGGTCAACGGTTGTAGAGCACAAGCATTTCAACTGGGGTAAAAGTTGAGATAAATGTGCAGAACAGTCTGCGGAAAAAAATTACCATGTGCTCCATGCAGATGCTGATTTCTCCATCACTGTAAAAAGCACCATAGAAGCCCACTATGTACGGAGAGTTACACTCATGTAGAACCTGCAGCTCCCGGATAATCTGGTTCCTGATGGCTGGCTTAATTTCCAGGTGGATCAGCTGGAACAGAGGGGACAATTTTAGTTGGATGTAAAAAAAAAAAATAAAACTGCATTACCAAACATCTTTTTGGATATTTGGGTGCTATATTTTTTCCTGATAATTAATATTGTGCAAAAAGTATCTTCTAGTACAGTGGCTGGGAAAAGCCTGCATAACTCTTGAGTTTTTCTCAAATTTTGTGAAATTACAACCTCGAATCTAAGTGCATATTATTTAGTAAACCAAAGAAGAGCATGATAGTTAAGTGAATGACTACTCATGGTTTTTACCTATTTCCAAGTAAACACTTGAAATGCGCATTATGTTCTCTGACAACCCAAATAAAATCCAGTACCACTTCATTGGTAAATATGCACACTGAGGTAAATGCAGGTGTTCTGTGAATATCTCAGAATTTTGTTAGGGAACATTAGTGAACAAACAGCCTCCTTAAGCCAAGAACCACATCAATGGGGCAGGCTTTATTTCTAAAACCATATCAAAAAGTTTGAAAGCATTTATCAGAGAAGCGGCCAAGAAGGCCATTATAATTCTGGAGGAGCTGAAGATCCACTACTCAATTGTGGAAAACTGTTGATGGGACAAATACTAATAAGATGTCTAATAACAAGTGTTTATGCAACAGTGGCAAAAATAAACATGCAGACAAAGCTCCTATGGAATGTTATCAATCAAAGTGTATTTAGGCATTAGAACAGGGTAAAAGTTGCTGCATATAAAGCTCTCCAGCCAACCTGAGTTTGAGCTATTTAGCAAAAATCACAGTCTTTTCAGAACTGCTAGATACAGACACCAAAAAGCAGCATCACAAGGTGGATCTATGAAGTGGTGGCTACATATTTTATCTATAATAACATGTTAAAGCATGTATCATCTCCTTTAAGTTCTCAATTATGCACTGCTTTGTGTCCTAATGACAAAATATTAAAAGGTTTGAGAAATATGAATAGTTTAGTGAAGTACTATGTACATGAGGAACCCACCCCACTAAAGGTGCTGGAGAAAACAAGCACTGTTCTTATGCAACAGGCCAGAAAAGTGTTTGCTTCCACACAATGCCCAAGGACATGTAGCAGAACACGACGCTAAGAGAGAAATCATGTGCTCTGCTTTTTTTGGAGTAAAAACATCAGCTTCAAGTAATGGAAACTCAATTTTAGAAGATTTAAAAGATTAAATAGTTACTTTGAAATGCATACATATATATCTATATATATAGATAGAGATCTATATATATAGATATATATATCTAGATCTATATATATGTATATATATATAGATCTAGATATATATATATATAGATATATATATATATCTATACCTACATATAGATATAGATATATATATATATAAATGAAGAAACATGAAGAAATTTTTTTTTGGCACATTTCTTGGAAATTAAGTTCAGTGTTCAAGCAAGCATCCTTTTCACTGACACTACACACACAGCTCACCTTCCTGGCCATAATCAGACCGGATGGTCGATGTGAGACCTTAAAAACGACGCCTCCGTTGCCTGCGCCAAGCTCGCAGATCTTCTCAAAGTCATCATCCTTCAGCTCTCCCACTTTCTGCTTCTGTGTCAGGAAGGCCTCCAGGCGTTTTCGTTGCTGCTCGTCCAACTCAAGCTCCTCCAGCTTTTTCTGCAAAGCCTCCAAGTTTGTTCTAAAAAAAATAGAACAAAGAAAAAAAACATAAAGTCACCAGTTTGTATAATGTGTGATTTCCTTCTCCAAAAAAAAAAAAAAAACACTTAAATGCATTTATGCAATGTTCTAATTCAAATGAGGGCATTTTAACTCTAATGATATTTCCAATAACTTAGTTACACTTACACTCATGTAAGATCTAGCAAAAAATAAACATCTTTACAGCATCATGCTGACACCACCATGTTTCACACACAGTGAGAATGGTGTGTTCAAGGTGGTGTGCAGTGTTAAGTTTTGCATAAAGGCCAAAACATTAGTTACAGGTTTAGTGGCCTATCACATAAAACCCAAATAATGCACTGCATTAATAAGTTAATTGTGAGACAAAATTTACAGATCTTCCAACATCAACCTTATTTTGTATATTTTTAATTTTTTAAAATAAAAGTTAAATAAGCAGAATGATACAAAAGCAGAAATCACCTCTAGCCTGGTCATTTGCACAGATAAAGCTCCCAATCTGCATGAAAGAAGACTGAAGTAGAGACGGTACGCTTTTCATTAAGCTCAGTGATGATCAACTCTCTTCTTTTTTTTTCTTCGCACTAAGTAAATCATGAGTTGCTGGAACGCAGGTGGAGGAGAGAAGCACACGCTCCTCTCCATGTAACACAGAGAGGGTTAAGTGCTTTTATTTTTTGATAGTGGAACTGCATATCCATGGAGACAAGGTGCTGTGTTTCAGCTAGATGTGGGTGGTGTGGGCATTTGTTCGTTTCACAAGAGCTGGAAGTGGAGGAGGCGGGGAGACACTGGCAACAGTAGCAGCCTGAAACACTCTCCAGTCAAGATGTGTAGTGTACCCCCCTTCAGGTTCAGGCGGAAGCTGGCTTTTGTTTGCCATCCACACAATATCCAAGGACATCCAGCTGAACATCAAGTTAAGGAGAAAACTGTTTCTGCAAGTTGCCTCAAAAAACTGTAGATAAGATGACATGCCTTTTTATTCCTGCTTAGAGAAGGTGCACCTGTTGGACAAAGTTGCATACACATTTGGGTACGGTGTTTACATTCCCAGATGATTTACCTAAACTCTTCTTCAGAAAGAAATGATCACACAACCTAAAAGATTTTGGTGGTAAACATTTTTAGTTTTTTTTTCTTCTGATATCCAGATGGACAGAATTATTCACACAGTCATTCACACACTTTTGGTAGACTTTAACAAGCGTCTTGCAAATTCTGGCAGGATTTGACCACCCTTCATTAGAAGTGGTTTATTTTGAGGCACAGACCAGGCTTTAAAGATAGTTCACAAATATTCAATCCATTCCAAATCCAGTTCTGATGTTTTGCCATTTTTGTCTTGCTTAAATAACTGTTTTGAGTATGACTGGCAAGAAAACAGACCTTCAGCATTATTCTGCCACCATCATACTTGACAGCTTGCACAATGTTACAAGTGTAAAAACATCCTTTTGACTCCTATGGACATTATTCTCGTTCTGCGATTAAATATCTTTGTCTCATTTGACCATAAAATATTTGACTTGTTTTATCAGGGCAAACCACGACAGTGCAGTCACAACACTGTCCAGTTTATAATGGACTTACATCTCGGTGGTTCCTGGATTGTTTTTAATTATCTAAACCAATTTTGTTTCATCTCATGTTACATTTGAACTGAAATGAGCGAAACAGAAAATTCAAGGCTGAAAGAAAAATGTAGCACTGTGCCAGGACAGTATTATGTACGTTACATTTTTATTCCACTTAAGAAAAATATTGAATAGCCCTTTAATATGATATACTGATAAGAAGCACATGTAATCTTCTGAATGGTATTGCACATGTTTTAATAGAATGAAACCTATTTTAGAAAACATTGGCGTAACATCTAGGGAGTTCTGAGGATTGATTTTATTACAAAATATGCAAAAAAACATTAAAGATTAATGTCACTATGAATAATAAACCTGAGAAACTAATCCAAATTATAAATTATAATACATATTATTATGAAATCTCCAATATTTGGGTAGATAACACTACTCTGAACACCTTTTGATTTGCTATCATCTCTCCTGCTTTAATATTGCATTCTTGGCTTGAACATAAAGTGGGTCTCTGAGTGTGCTGCAGCAGGAACCGACAGCCATTTCACACTGTGAAAGCTTCTGGCCGACTAGAAAATGGGCAAAGCTTTTTTTCATCATGCTGTAATGGTTTGGTTTCAGGGAAGCGGCTCATCATTGAATTAAGCTTATTCACCACCATTATATTTGCTGACCAGCGTCAGCAACCGGTTCCCTGAGGTGCTCCAAATAATCCACAGCAATGTGCTTATGTTTTGAAATGCATGTTTTCAAACAAGGACAAAACAGTAGTTATTCCAACCACAATTCCTATACTACACATATATACTGTATATTATATACTGCTTTTCTATGTAAAGACATGCAGTAAATAACTTTTAGACAAGGTAAAAGTAATTTTCTGTAGTTTAAATACACAAATTTGAACCATCATAATATTCTAACTAATTATTTTTTTACAACCAGGAAATTTGTCTGCTGACACAAAAACCGGGTGGCAAAGGCAAACTGAATACTACATGAGGTTATTAAATAGTAAACTATTTGCCCCAACAATCTTTTAAAGTCCTGTTAGCAGCAGACGTCTGATTTTCATTTCAAACACATCTATTACTATTAGCAAGATCGCAGATAAAGAGAGTCCTAATTTTATGCTTAAAGGTTTCTCAGATTTTGTTTCAAGGAAAATTTAAAGATACTCTGCAGTGCTGTGTTTCTATTCATTAAAAAACGACAGACGATAAAGTAGCATAGAATTTAGTTTTTAAAGAACTGAAGGGAAAAACTAATTATTTTTCATTTGTGTATTTAGGTAGTTGATGTGTCACAAGTTGCACAAGAATCAAATTGATCAGCTGGCAATAGTAAAGACTAAAGCAGACAAGCAATTATTGATAGATTTCAACAGATATTTTTAAGCTGAAGTTTATGGGTTTGACCTTGCTGATTTGATCTCTGATTATACTACTATTGAATGATGCTGAAACCTGTAGCTATTTATTATTTTTTGCACAGCTATCTCTAATAGCAAAAGTGACAGAATAGCAGCAGTCTGCAACAGATTGTCAGTGTAAGTTTTGTACTGTGTGATAGAGTCCTATTATGAATAAAGAGATTGTACTCTTTCAGGGTTCCTCTTGAGAGTTTACTGTCCTTCATCCTGTTAGAGCTTGTCCACAGTGCCAGGAATGTTAACAGCCTCTTGCCAAACACCATATTATCATCAGCAGGTTCTAACAATGACAAACTAAAGCTCAGATGCAGCAGTTTATACATTTTTGTCTCCAGAAGTTTTACCTAATGATATAATATATTTTGTCCTGGATGACATGTTGCAGAAGCAGTAGTAAACATGTTAAAAAAATATTCATCTCAGCCAAACCAGTTCACAGCAGCACTGACACAAGCTTTTCCTCATGCAATAAGGCTGGGCTTTGTGTCACAACAGTTTTATTTCTTCATTATTATGACTAGCCAAAAGGTGGTGGGAAAGACACAGGTGCAGAGACTAAAACTATAAACACGTGTTATTTTGCATACTGCTTGTGCTGCACAGCCCTGTCAAATTGTTCTGGAGAGTTGTGGTTTGCATACAGTGGTGATGATATTGGGAATAAATGGTAAACAATATTTTTTCACTGTTTTTTCCCAACTAAAGTATGAACAAAATGTTCATACTTTGAAAAGTGTTTTTCTAATCCTCTCTTTATAACAGGGCTTATAAGTCAGGGCTCTAACAGTTCTACTGATAAAATAATTGTTTTTGCTGTCATTGTGCTATGGAAGCTGAAGTGGCATAAGCAGTATTTGTAGCATTAGTTTTTACTTCATTATTTACTTACATTATCTAATGCATGATGCTAATTATGATATTACTATTTTATTATTATTCATTTATTATTTTCAATTTTGTGTAGAATATTTTAACTTTCCTCTGTAAACTATTTATATACTGCCAACAAAATACAATTTTCTAAAATTAGAATAGCAAATTTATCAAACACATAATTTATTGCCATCCTATACAAATCAATAAAAACCTGTGTTTTTAGTTATAAATACTTGTGAAAGCTTAATTGTGCACTAACTCAAGGCACTTTTTTTTTCCAACAAACACCCATGTAAATGGGAATAAATCCAGGCAACATTTATATAATTTGGGTCAGAAAAAAGGTTGGAAATCACATTTTTTGATTCTCTCACACATTTATTTTGTTTCACTGGTTTTGTTAGAAATTCAGTCAGAAAGGGCCTATTTATTGAAAACTTTATTGACTCTATTTATTGAAAACGACCTTTTAAAAATGTATTACAAACATTAATAATTAGTTCAACTAATTTAATGTTAGGTTTTACAATTAAACAGATCAATAAAGTATACAAACTGATCAATAGGTGCAACTAAAGACAGACACCAGATTTGTAGATTGAATGACCATTTTACAAAAGCACTCTAAAAAATACTGTTGCTCGGCTTTTTCATCAATTGTTAAAACATAACAATTGATGATTGCAGGAGGCGCAGCATAGATCAATAAAATCAGATTGAAACCTATTCGCCTGGTCGAGTCTCAGGTTGGGGTTTATACGCACACACACGCAAAATTCCCTGCTGTCATGAATGTCCCATGATTAGGTCATAGCTGGGAATCTGAATATGAGCAGTAGATTATTGATGGACACTCACTCTGAGGCTCCTGTTCCGTTGATAGTGTTCCCATCAGGAATCGGGTTCAGCTGGATCGGTTCTGGCTTCTTTCTTTTCTGCATGTTAGGCACAAGAATCAAGCGGGACGGGAACAAATGCAGAGAATCAGAGACAGGAGCGACAAAGAGAGATGCGGATGGAATCAAAGTGGATATCTCAGGGTAGAAAAATCACTGCTGTTTTAAGCTGCAGGGGCAAAGCAGCTGCTGGTGGTGGATAAACGTCACGACAATATTTACACTGGTCTTCCGGATAGCATGGCGGAGCTAAGTGCAGCGCTCCCTCTGCTGGTTGTGTCTGAAACTAACATCATGCCGCTGAAAACAGAGCAGACTCTCTCCAACATAAAGCACAGCAACAGTTGACTTTTACTGTATTTCTAGTTACATTATTAATCATAAAAAATTTTCACATAAAAAGAAAAAAATAATAGTTTTGGATCAGATGTTTTTCCTATATTCTGTTTTAGAAATGTTAATATCCATTTGTCTTGGGAGCACAGACTCATAGTCTCCTAACCCAACCCATGTTTCCTTCAAATGATTTGCAGGAGTGAGTCATAAAATGGCCATTGAGGAAATCGTTAAACAGCACAAGTTAGTTAAAGCTTAAATAAATATGGTGATACATAGTATCTTTCAATCACTTCACTTTATGTTCCATAATAAATTTATTTTTGTTTTATTTTGAGGTAAGTAAATTAAAACCATATTTGAAGTGAAGAATTAAAAAAAAATCTAAAGGTGAGGTTTGAAGATTATTATTACTTTTTTATTTGTATTTCTTTTTTTTACATTTCCTGTTCAGACTTGATGAACTTGATATGTTTGGTAGCAAATATATACATATATACATATGTGTGTGTTTGTGCATAATCATAATCATTCATGTTATACTTACAAAATTCTATAATATGTTCAGTGTGTCTGCCTGCTTGTTTAATGAGTGTATTGCTAACATTAACTTTGCAAACACTAGCAGAAATAAAACAACAAATTAGTCGGACATTTTTAATTCAGGGTCTTTGATCTTCATGATAATTTTAATTATCCTAAGATCTGAATTATAATCAGGCACCTGGCCTCTTCAGCGTTCTTCTTGCTGATGTGTAGCTCATTATTTCAACAACTATGCCTAGGGTAGTTTTCCTTTTTCTAGCTGTTCGCACACAATGCAGAAAATTACCAAAACCTTAGAAGAAATCAAGCTCAATTCAAACAAAACTTAATCCACTCTAACCAGGCATATGAAGATATATTATCGTAGGAAACTCTGAAATTCACTTTCGATGTTGCGTGTCACCGATATTTGATTAAGATGCAATAGCTTATGAATAAAGAAAAAAAGGGTCAGCATGGCAAATACTGAGAAAAAATCTTCAAAACTGACATTCAGACTATATTTCTATTTTTTTATTGCATCCACATTATGCTAAAATGTTTCCATTTCTTACATTCAACTGACTGGACTGTGGGTTCACTTTACATTTTATAGTCATTTTACAATTTTATGTCATCATCACTCTTACAGGCAGCTGGTGAAAAATCCTGGACATCCTCTGCTTCTGTTTTATTTATTGCAGTTCAAAATCTTAATGCATTCAGAATATGATTTCATCCACTGCAATATTCTCTCCCTTTTAATACGCTCCTTAAGATACATTCTTGATCTCTTTGTTTTGGAAAGCTCAGAGATGAGCAAAAATATCACTAAACAACAGACTAAAAACAAGAATGCACTAAAGTGCAAAATTAACCCAAAATCAAGGAACTCAAAACCAGATAGACAACAGAATCAAAGTCTTCAGAACCTGATTGCAGATGGTTCTCTGTTGATGGTATCTCAGGTGATAAACTGGCTCAGTTTGGGTCTGCAGATTCTATCCATTCTTGATCTTTCCTCTCAGGCAGTTTGGGTGATTGTTTTGTTTTTTGACACATCAAATACAACTTCATGTATCTCTCAGGCTGCAGTGTCCTAAACTGCAGTACAGAAAACAGACAAAAATGGGCCACAAAAGAAGAGCTGATAGATACAACTATTATTGATGGTGGTGATAATTAATTGCTAATCAATCAGAATCAACCAGCCAACCACATGGAGAAAGACAACAAATAAAGGGTAAACAAGGAATGATACATTTATTTCCAGTACTCCAGATCTGGAAATATTTTTAATTGCTGTTAAAATAATCCACACAATTTTAAAAAGACAATCTCCAAGCCTCTTTTTAATGAAAAAGTCCAATTAGTTGTCAGAAACATAAACATTCAGGGTATTCTACACCTAAATAAATCTAATTTAGAATCAACTGCCTTCAGAAATCACTCTAAAACAGAACAAGACAGAGTCCACATGTGTCTATTTATTCTTGGTATAAATACATCTTTTCTCTGGAAGTTTTAAAGATTGTTGTGGAGAAATTTAAAACAGCATTATGATATAAAACAAAATGCAAAAGTGTAAGACATCTGTAAGCCTAACAAGATAATGGACATCCAACAGAAATGACTATCAAGTCCTGCATTAATCAGAGAAGCTCCTTTATCCATGAAATCCACATTAATGGTGTTTATACAATAATGGTGAGAACAAACTTGATGAAGTTTAAGAAGTTCTGTTTGCTGTTTGCCGCAACAAAAGACAAAGTAACCATTTGGTAAAAATTGTTTTAGACAGAGAATTTAAATAGATTTGTTTCCTCTCATAATGCAACATTTGAAGGGAAAACTGTTCCTTCGCCTTATTCTACTCACTGCCCACAAGTTATAACATTGTGATGGCAAGAACATATTATGGGGAGGCTTTTCTTTGAAAGGAACAAATGAGCTGGTCAATTGATTCTAGGATGAAAGGGTGTTTCAGGATAACTCAGCCAGAGTTTATAAAATTGTTTAGATGAAAAGCATATGAATGTTTCAGGAGGACTCAGTCGAAGTCCAGGTCCTATAAGCTGGATTTTGACTAATCAACAGAATGTGATAAGACTCAAAATTCAATGGATGTTCACCACTTGGTCTGACTAACCTTGGACTACTTTCCAAAGAAGGATTCTAAACATTTCAGTTATTAAATGTACAATGCTGCTAGGCAATTGCTGCAAAACACTTGTAGTTGCAAAAATGCTGAGATTCAAGGGGACAGAATATCTGTAAAATACAATTTCAACACAGCTATTTTTTTAAAAACCTGAAATGTATCAGCATATTGTTTTTGAAAGGCATAGCACAACCATAATATAATCTTGTGTTATATATTCAATTCAGGGTTCAGCAATTTGCTTGGGCCATTGCTTTTTATCTTCACTGATTATGTGAAAAGACCCTTGGCTCTTAACATTGGTGATGCAGGTTCAAACTCAAAGATGATGTAGGAATAAATCTATGCCCTTGAAACACACTTCTAACAAAACTGTTTTATATTTAAGATCGCATAGGCACTTGACCAGTGGTTAAATGAGCAGAATGCAAATATATAGCATCCTCTGCAAATGTTTAAAGTCTGCAATGTCTCCTCTTAATAATATAATCCTTTGGGCTGCAGCTGCATTGTGCTAGTCATAATAATTGTATACCCTAATTAATTACCTAAGTTATGGCACAAAGTTTACTGAGCAGAATTAATGTCTATAAAAATTAAAACCTTGTCCATAAATCACCTTACAGGGTCTCACCTTAAAAGAAAAAATATAAATATAATTATATTTTTAATTAAACAGGGTGACAATTTTTTTTTAAGATCTGAAGCTGTTGGTAGTGACTCATTAAAACAAACCACCAGAAGAAAGAAAGACTACATCAAGAAGAAGTGGACATGATCGCTTCAACCATTTACCAGCAGAGGAGAAATTAAACACAGCCTCCTCTGAAAAGTATCATTTTTAAGGAGTGATGTGTTAGCTGTCAGTCTAAGTCCGCCATGCAGATTAGATATGTGGTTGAAATGGAGAACAGCTGTCATTTTCACAATCTGCTCTGCAGTCTCTACAGATTCCTCCTGACAGACACAAGGCCAGAGAACCGTGCCTGGGTTACTGAAAGCATCTTGGTGCCAAAATCATCTTTTTCTTCATAAACTAGGACTGACAGAAGGGAAGATTGGTTGTGTCCTATCATCAGCATGTAGACAGGGACCTTGTAAGTTGCACAACTTGACTTTTTCGGCCTCCCAGCATGAAACAACCATGACTGTGGATTAACTTTCGGAGAAGGACATTTTAAGAAAATGCAGCTCTCTGTTTTTTTTTGTACGTTTTTCTGTAAACAACTATGTGCAAACTATATTGCCTGACATACTTTAAGTATTTGCTGACAATTACATCGATTCTTGTTGTGATTAGAAAATTATTTGAGATTTTAAAGTAGGTGAAGTCAGGAGCTGGATCTTGACCAAAAAGTATGACATGGAATTTTAGGGTTTTAGTGATTCATTTGAGACCATTTTTTTCTGGAGGGGAGGGATAAAAAAGAATGTGTGCTTAGATTTCTCGAATTAACACAGGGTCAAAAATATGCATAGAGGTTCAAATGTATTGGCCTATATTGCGTTAATTGTCTTCTAATAAGTTTCAGAGACACTACTACACCCTTTTTTGTAGCCATCAACAATGTCTTGGCATAACCTTGGCAGGGTATTTGAGCACTCTTTCTATCAGAAAGGATCAAATTAATTTAAAGTGGTTGACTTCCTGGCACAGACCTGACTTTTTAACATAGTTTATAACTTTTAACCAGGATTGACGTCATGGCCTCGGGAGCATCATTAAAAAATCTGATTGCAAACCTTCAAAAACCATAAATTGTCAATGAAGTCGAGGCCATTTTGGGAAACTTATTAGCCTGCTTTTTTCATGCCAAAACACTTTCTGATTTGTACTAGGGAAACAAAACAGCCAAGACTTATGGCTATGATAACCTGGGTGATACCAGAAAACCCATGTGACTGTTATTTATCTATTCATCAAGTATCGCCATAGACTGAGGGGTTACTAAGTAAGAAGTAAGCTCCTACTCCAAAATGGACAACTGCTGTCACCTGCCAAACACCTCGTGGAAAAACATTAAATAGGACAAAGATTGAATTATATGACCTTGATGGAAAAATGTATGTTTGGAGGATACCTTCAAATACATAAACACAGTGCTAACTGTGAAGCATGGTAGTGGCAGCATCATGCTGAGACAGAAGATATGCCGAGTGGCGCTGGTGCTTTGTATAAAGTGGGTGGAAAA